GGTTTAATGGACTCATAGTTCCACATAGCTAGGGAGGCCTAACAATCATTGTGGAAGGTGAAAGGCACGTCTTACATGGTGGCAGGCAAGAAAGAATGAGAGCCAAGTAAAAGAAGAAACACCTTATAAAATTATCAGATCTTGTGAGATTTATTCACTACTATGAGAACAGTAGTGGGGAATCGACCCTTATGATTCAATCATCTCCCCCCAGGTCCCTCCCACAACATGTGGGGACTGGGAGCTGCAATTCAATATGAGGTATGGATGTCGACACAGCCAAGCCACCATATCATTCTGCTCCTTGCTCCTCTCAAATTTCATGTCCTCACATTTCAAAACCAATCATACTTTCCCAACAGTCTTCCAGAATCTGAACTCATTTCAGCATTAACTCAAAAGGCCATAGTCCAAAGTCTCATCTGAGACAAAGCAAGTCCCTTCTGCTTATGAGCCTGTAAAATCAAAAGTAAGTTAGTTACTTCCTAGTTACAATGGGATGACATTCATTGGATAATTACTCCCATTCTAATTGGGAGAAATTGGCCAAACGAAGGAGGCAAAGGGCCCATGCAAGTCTAAAATCCAGCAAAGCTGTCAAATCTTTAAAGCTCCATAACGATCTCCTTTGACTTCATATCTCATATCTAGGTCATTCTGACGCAAAAGGTGGGTTTCCATGGTCTTGGGCAGCTCTGCCCCTGTGGCTTTGCAGGGTACAGTCTCTCTCCTGGCTACTTTCACAGCCTGATATTGAGTGTCTGTGACTTTTCCAGGTGCATGGTACACGCTGTCAGTGGATCTACCATTCTGGTGTCTGGGAGATGGTGGCCCTCTTATCAAAGGTCCACTAGGCAGAGTCCCAGTTGGGACTCTGTGGGGGCTCCAACCCCACATTTCCCTTCTGTGCTGCCCTAGAAGAGGTTCTCCAAGAGGGCCCCACCCCTGCAGCAAACTTATTCCTGGGCATCTAGGCGTTTCTATACATCCTCTGAAATCTTAGTGGAGGTTTCCAAACCTCACTCTTGACTTCTGTGCACTCACAGGCTCAACACTATGTGGAAGCTGCCAAGGCTTGGGGCTTGTACCTTCTGGAGCCACAGCTCAAGCTGTACCTTGGCACCTTTTAGCCATGGCTGGAGCAGAGGGGATGCAGGGCATCAAGCACCTAGACTGCACAGAGCATGGACCCCTTGGCCTGGATGGGAGGGGCTGCCACAAATATCTCTGACATGCCTTGGAGACATTTTCCCCATTGTATTGGTGATTAACTTTCTGCTCCTTGTTATTTGTACAAATTTCTGTACCAGGCTTGAATTTCTCTCCAGTTAATTGGTTTTTCTTTTCCATTGCATCATCAAGCTGCAAATTTTCCAAACTTATGTGCTCTGCTTTCTTTCTAAAACTGAATCCTTTTAACAACATCCAAGTTACCTGATGAATGCTTTGCTGCTTAGAACTTTCTTCTGTCAGGTACCCTAAATCATCTCCTTCAAGTTCAGAGTTTCACAAAGTTCAACAAATCTTAGGGCAGAGGCAAAATGCAACCAGTCTCTTTGTTAAAACATAAAAATAGTCACCTTTACATCAGTTCCCAGGAAGTTCCTCATCTCAATGTGAGTTCACTTCTGCCTGAATTTCACTGTCCATATCACTATCAGCATTTTAGTTAAAGCTGTTCAATAAGTCTCTAGGAAGTTCCAAACTTTCTCACATTTCCCTTTCTTCTTCTGAGCCCTCCAAACTGTACTAACTTCTGACTGTTACACAATTCCAAAGTCTCTTCCACATTTTTGGGTATTTTTACGGCAGCACCCCTCTCCCAGTATAAAATTATTGTGTTAGTCTGTTCTCACACTGCTGATAAAGACACACCCAAGACTGGGCAATTAATAACGAAAAATAAGTTTAATGGACTCACAGTTCTACATAGTTGTGGAGGCCTCACCATCCTGGCAGAAGGCAAAAGGCGTGTACTATGTGGCAGCAGGCAAGAGAGAATGAGAGCCAAGTGAAAGGGGAAACCCCTTATAAAATCATCATATCTGGTGAGGCTTACTCACTACACGAGAACAGTATGGGAAAAACTGCCCCCATGATTTAATTATCTCCCACTGAGGCCTTCCCACACAACACATGGGAATTATGGGAGCCACAACTCAAGATGAGACGGATTATTGAGGAGGGCACAGCCAAACCATATCAGCAGATATTGAGTTTTTGCTTCCAGATGTAGGACTCCCCTGAGCATTTCTTACAGTGTTGGTCTAGTGAGGATAAATTATCTCTTTTTGCTTGTTTAGAAACAACTTTATTTCCCTTTCACTTTTTTTTTTTTTTTTTTTTTTTTTTTTTTTTTTTTTTTTTTTTTTTGAGTTGGAGTCTCACTCTGTTACTCAGACTGGAGTACATTGGCATCATGTCAGCTCACTGCAATCTCCATCTCCTGGGTTCAAGCAATTCTCCTGCCTGAGCCTCCTGAGTAGCTGGCATTACAGGTGCCCACCACCATACCTGGATAATTTTTTGTATTTTATAGTAGAGTCAGAGTTTCACCATTTTGGCCAGGCTGGTTGAAATCCTGACCTCGTGATCCACCTGCCTTGGCTTCACAGAGGGCTGGAATTACAGACGTGAGCCATCACATCTGGCCCCCTTTCACTTTTAAAATATAACTTATCTTTTTTTTTTTTTGCATAAGTTGTTTATGCCTTTGTCCATTTCTTCTTATCATTCTGGAACACCTAAATTTTAAATATTTGACCACTGTGTGGTGCCTCATATGTCTTGTATGCTCCTTTCATTCTTTATTATTTTTTATTTGTATTTTTTGTCTGATGGAATTATTTCAAGAGGCCTGTCTTCAAATTCAAACATTGCTTCTGCTGATTCAGTATATTGTGCTTAATGCTCTTGATTGTATTTTAAGATTTTTCATTTATTAAATTCTTCAGTTCCAGGATTTATTTGTGCATGTGTTTTTTAAATGATTTCTCTCTCTGCTGAACTTTTCATTCAAGTTGTAATTTTCTTTCCAATGTATTCATAGTGTTTATCCATGTTCTCTTTATTTAGTGATTTTGTGATATTATTTTGATTTTTTTAGGCATTCCATAAATTTCCTTTCTTTTTTTTGAGATTTGTTACTGGAGAATTGTTGTGTTTCTTGAAAGGTGTTATGCTTTCTTGCTGTCCTTTTCTTTCTCTTTTTCTTTTTTTTTTCTGAAATGGGGTTGACCAGGTTGAAGTCCAATGGTGTGATCTTGGTTCGCCGTAACCTCTGCCTCCCAGATTCAAACGATTCTCCTGCCTCAGCCTCCCAAGTAACTGGGATTGCAGGCATGTGCCACTTCACCCAGCCTGCTTTTCATTTTTTGTGTCTTTATGTTGGTATCTGCACATCTGATATACCAGCCATTTTGCCCAATGTTACAGATTGGATGAGAATCTTTCAAAAGAAAATATTTTTTATAAAGATATATCTACAGTGTGCACTGGGCAGGGTGCTTTCACTTTTACTCTGGGTGGGTGCAGAAGTGTGGTCTCTGCATGATTTCTTTAACTGTTATCAACATCAGTGGTGTCTGTGAATTCCTCAGTGGCTTAGGTGGCAGTTGTTATTGGAGGCTGTGCCAAGACTTTCCTGGGGACAGGGACTCCAGGAGGACTGTTCCTTGGGCACCAGTGGTACCACTGGTGGGTTGTGGGTGCTAGTCCTTGGGCCCCTGGGTGGTGTGCGTGGCATTGGTAGTGGCAGTGGTGGTGGTGGGCCAACTCATAGCCCCCATGTGGCTTGCACAGATGCCTGTGGTGGATGGCTGGTGGCTGGACTGGTATCCAAGTCCCCTAAAGGCACATTCAGGTACATGACCACCCTGCCACTGGAGGAGACTGGGCTGCACACACTTCCTTTGTTTCCAAGGCAGCCTCCTGCTGTGCTGCCCCACCCATCTTCCAGAGTGTGGGACGCTGTGTGAGTTAGAGTGCTGTTGGTCCAGCCACGCCACTGTGTGTGTCCAGCCAGCATTGCAATGCTGCAGCCTTGCGGGTGGATGCAGGGGAATGCCAGTGGGGCTCCAGGTATGTGAAAGGTCAGGAGATGTTGGTTCTCAGGGCGGGATGTAGCCTTGTATGGACTGAGCTTCTCAGAATGGCATTATGTTGCAATTACTTGGACGTTGGGGGTGTTTGGCACCCAGTGCAAACTCTCTCCCTGAGACAATGCCATCACATAGATGGCAGGCAGCTCTCTATACCAGTCTAAGGGTCCGCAGGGGCCAAGGGGCTCACCCATGCCTGGGATTGCAAGAGTCCTTGGTGGGAATGTGAACCACTAAGGATCTCTTGCTTACCGGTTTTCCATAATGGGGAGCTCCTTCTCTATATGCTTAAAATATAAAATTGTTCTTAAAAAGATAAAATCAATTTTTAAAAGGAAAGGTCATAGAGATGAGTTTATCAGAGTGAGAACTTTAAATTTGGTAAGATTTAAATGGGTGGTGCTCAGAGACAGAACTCCCATCCCACGATCTCTAGGATCTGGCAGCAATGGAGCTAGGAATACACAGAGGTTTGACTTACCTTCTGGAAGATCCCAGGGGATCTTGGTCTTATGACTGTTTATTTCCCTCTTGGATAGGGAAGAAGCTATGGACTTAGACCATTCTTTTATGAGACAAGATAGATGGGAGGCTCAAACATTAATTGAGTGTACCTTAGGGAAGAGAGAAAAGGGTTTCAGATAGAATTTGCTGAAAGCTTGGGTTTGCTGTCTATTAGCTGTTTTGTCTTTGAGCAAGCCACATAAAATCTCTGGAGGTATTTCATAACTTACATTTTACTAGAGTTTATTGGTAAAATGCAAAAAATTATATTAATATCTACTTATCCAAGAGTTGTGAATATTCAATTATATAATTTAGGGAAATGTCCAAAAGTGTTGACACATAGTCAACTACTAACATTTTGTTTTTCTTTTTTTCTTCTCTTTCAATAAACAGGAGAAAGAGTAAATGGGAGAAAGTAACACTTTTTCAGGTGTCAGGCTGGAGGAAGCCACCTGCAGATGAGTCTGCCTGTACCTTAGGATTACCTGGTGGCCTGCATTCTTCCAAGTTATGTCTACTGATTTGCGCTCTGTATTCAACAATTTTTCTTTTTCCATATTTCTTTCTTACTGACCTTAAGAGTGACCATATTTTTTGTCAGTTTGGTCCTCAGCCTCAAAACTTAGCCTTTTCCTTTCGTGGTTGCTGAATCCTATCACTTGTCATAGTGGCTGCTCCAATTTGAGGCTGTGAAGGTGTTTGCCAAGCCTGCTGAGAAGGCTCATCTGTGGCATCCGAGAGCAGAGATTTCAACTCTGACCCCTGTGAATTGTCTTGGGAATTACGGATACCCAGCACTATTTTGAAATATCAGCGGACATCCAATTCTTAAAAGCCCTCGGAGCTTTAGAGGAGACCCCTTCATCTCTTCATGTCAGAGAGCCGACTCAACCCTTCTCAACTCCTCCTCCTTCCCTCTCTTGGGCAATCAGGATGCGGCAGGAACTCAGCATGCATGTTTTTACAGCTCTTCTCTAGTAATGCTGCCATTTCGACTGCAGACCACAGGATAAAAGGAGCACTTCAGAGTGGCTCAGGATACTCTTTTAAGTAGGAGGTAACTATTCAGTTTCTTTGTGGCCCATACATAAACTTGATTATGTTCTTCATTGCTCCAAGATACTATCTGTTTGTTTTTTCCCAGAGGGAGAAGAAAGTACTACTTCAATATAAAATAAAGCAAATGTTCTTCAAATCACCACCGTGGGACTTGACCACTAACGGTGACCAGCAGTGGCTTTGTCATGGCCTTGCCCACTGGGGACAGACACATGCCAGGGCCAGGGTAGGCTGCCGGCTGGTAAGTATGACTAGGTGGCTGGTGGAGTGCACACAGTGGGAAGGGCAGATGGTTCCATTCTGATGTGTTAGCAAGCCACCTCCCCGGGAGGGGCTTTCCCTTCTGTGGAGTCTGCGCCCCCCCGTCTCAGCTGTCTGGGAGCAGATGTGTATAGTTAGAGATACAGACCTTTTCACTGTAAATACAGCTCACATGTTCCTAGGCTGACTTTACTATGTGCAGAGCCTCTTCTCAAATATCCAAATCCCCAATGCTGGGTACTACAGAACAGATGTTACCCTGCCTCCTATTACATTAATTTACGAACTTTACATATGCTGAGTTACGGACCTTGAGCTGTTGCATGTGCTCAGCTGTTACGTTCCAAAAAGTACATTTTTATGGCTTTGTGGAAACTGTTCTGCTTTTGCAGTCTGTAAGATTCTTTTTTTTTTTTTTTTTCTAGTCAACAATTATCCTTGTCCTGGACCATTAGAGCTTGAGGAAGGGATTTTAGCAGCCCACATATCTCCTTCCTAATCCAGGTGATTAGAGGCTTAGAGAGAGGTGGTAGTTTCTCTGAGTTTATCAGATTCAGTGACAAACTCGAAGCCCAAACCCCTTCTCCTAATTTCTAATGGATCCAGCAGCCTTCGTTTACAAAAGCTGACTTTCGATAATATAACTTTTATACACTGAGACAACTTATTTTAAATAACAGTTCAGAAATCTTTATTTTTTTTGAAAGACTTTTTAAGGTCAGCCACCATGGGTCATGCCTATAAACTCAACACTTGGGGGTCAAAGTGGGAGGATCGTCTGAGGCCAAGATTTCAAGACCAGCCTAGAGACAACTCTGTCTCTAAAAAATTTAAGAAAATAACCAGGTGTGGTGGTGTATGCCTATAGTCCCAGCTACCTAGAAGGCTGAAGTAGGAGGATCCATTGAGCCTAGGAGGCTGAGATTGAGTCAGCTGTGATTGCACCACTGTACTTCAGCCTGGGTGACAGAGCGGTCAGGAAAAAAAAAAAAGAAAGAAAGAAAAAAGAAGCTTTTTAGTGCAGTTTTAGGTTCAGAGCAAAACTGAGTAGAAGGTGCAGAGATTTTCCATATTCTTCCTGCCCCTCCAACAAACATGCCCTGCCTCCTTCGTTATCAGCATTCTTTCCCAGAGTGGTTCACTTTTTATAAGTGATGATCCTGCACTGACATGTCACCATCACAACGAGTTCCTCGTTGACACCACGGTGCGCTCTTGGTGTTGAACATTCCAGGCATTTGGACAAATGTATAACGACATGGCTCCACCGCTGCGGTATCACACGGACGAGTTTCACTCCCCTAAGCCCTCTGTGCTCCGCTGACATTTATTCCCTCATCCCCCTGCCCCCGCGACCCCTGGCACCCCATAGTTTGGTCTTATTTAATGTCTTTTGAGGTTGCACTGCTGCCCTAAGACACCGTATGAGCAGAGGGTTAGCCACCTCAGCCAAGAGTCATTTGGTCTGGTCACGTCTCCACCTTCGGGACAAAAGCATTTCAGAACCATCCTACCAGTAGTGTTCCTGTAAGTAACCAGACACTGTATCCATGGCAACGTGACTCCAGGAGCACTGTTTCCAAGGAGCAGCTGCCCTTCCTGGGCACCATCAAGAGTTGTTCTTCTCTGACATCCATTCCCTTCTTGCCTTGGCACATACCTCAGCCCTGGGGCCAGGCAGCCAGGGCCTTCCATGGCTGTCCAGATGCATTTCTTCCCAGCTAGAATGTGGTTGGCTTGTGGACTTCGGTTTCCAGCATAGCGGACAGTGGGCACTAAAAACCAGTAGGCATTCAATTGATGATTCTTCAACAAAATAACTGATGCCACATTTAGGTCCGTCTTTCTTGTGTATCTTCTGTTCTTCAACAGAGTCCCACAGTATCCCAGAACTTTATCTTGGGGTTTCTCAGATGGTTGAGTACCCAGTTATCATTTGCTGCAGAGTTTCTGAGTCAGTACCTCTGGGGCAGACCCAGTACTCTGCATGTGAGCACAAACCTAGGTGGTTCTGACCCTGGTGGTCCAGGAACCACTGCAGGAAAGAGACAATAGGACTGCACGCTTTAGAGGCAGCGGGTATCATCCATCCCTATCTATGGCAATGATTACAGGGCATGCCCTGGCCACATGAGCACATTCTATTATGATTATTTTGTGGGATGGATGAGCTACAGAACTGGAATTCTGGTTTCAACTCTGCCAGCTGCTGGCTGATTGAAACTGAACAAGCCACCTGCCTTCCCTGAGACTGTCTGGTCTCCTGTGAAATTGGGGCATTAGAATACATGAAGACTCCTTTATGTCCTTAATAAACTGTGAGTTTAAGAATCCAGGGAATCTCCATGCTGGTGGCTGCAGTTACAGCCCCTTATCTTCAATCCATCAAGAAGCAGTCAAAAAAGGTGGCAGGGTTGTGTCAGCTGCTCCCCTTAGCAGGTCTTGTGAGGGAATTGCCTTTGTCTTACCCAGCCACCACCACACTCCCACTCAGCCACCATCACCTGAACCATCTGGCAGTGGGGTTCCCCTCCTAAAACTGAGACACAGAGGCCACCGCAGGCATTTCTTCCTGGCTGTCCTCCACTCCCTCCCAAAGGCTCGGTCCTGCTGAGCTGCACATCTCCAAGGACTCATTTCCTGTGTTTCATGTCGTTTCATATCCACTAGTGTTATAGAAACTGCTGCAGACCAGGGGCCAAAAGCCCATAAGTTCCACTTCTTGTTTTGACACTAATGAGATGGGTGACTGCTGGCAAGCTACTTTATCTCTCTGACTCATGTACAGAAGTGGGTCCTGGAGTCCAAATTTGAATTCTTTGTGCAAGATACACACGGCCAGGTCCTATCCTCAGAGATCCTGACTCAGTCCAGGGAAAGGTTTAGATTTTGGGGAGAAAACAGCTCTATAGAGGAAGGAGTCTAGCCTTCACCGAGTGCCAAGATCTCGCGTTTCTCGGTTAACAATGTTACCCTAACTAATCCAGAGTCTGATGTCACCTGCTAACAACTTACCCTGTGGCCTCAAGCCAGTAGCCCATTTGCAGCTACTACAAACACTCCTTTACATTTATGTTTTGTTTACGAGATTTCGCCTATAATAATAGATCCTGCCAGTCAACCTGCAAATGCATATGTTCCATCGCTAATAGGAAAAACTGCATCTATTATAAACGTTCTCTCTGGGAGCTTAGCACAGAGGCAGGCCTTGTATTGCAAACATTTGGGAGACCATAACCAGGTATTCTGGACTGTGTTTTATATCACCTGAGAACATTTCTTGAACACTAGCGTTTGCTTAGAGTGACAAACCTGTTAAGTGGTTCTTTCAGTTAAGTTTGCATCTAAGCAATGTCTGAACAGCAGGAGGAAGCCAGGAGCTGTGCCTGGCTTTCTGGCCATACAAATGGCATATGGGAAAGTCGTTGTATATTATTAATATATTTTGATGTATATTTTTATGACTTTCTCACAATATTAATGTTGTTGGTTTTATTAATGTTATTTTTATAGCAATGCTAATATTATGAGCTAAAAGTTCTGAGCCTCTGCTGGGTGCCAAAAATTCTTATAAATGCTTTAGATGCATTAGCTTCTAACACTTTGAAGTAATTCTTATTGTCCTCACTTGACATATCCAAGAAATAAAAACCTAAGCATTAGGCTGGATGCGGTGGCTCACACCTGTAATCCCAGCACTTTGGGATGCCAAGGTGGGCAGATCACCTGAGGTCAGATATTCGAGACCAGCCTGGACACCACGGTGAAATCCTGTCTTTACTAAACATATAAACAAAAAAAAAAAAATAGCCAGGTGCGGTGGTGGACGCCTGTAATTCCAGCTACTAGGAAGGCTGATGCAGGAGAATTGCTTGAACCCAGGAGGCAGAGGTTGCAGTAAGCTGAGATTATGCCACTGCATGCCAGCCTGGTCAATAAGAGCAAAACTCTGTCTTTAAAAAAAAAATGAGCATTTGAAGAATTTTGTCTCGGTGGTGGAGCTTGTGAGCTGTGATCTGGAATCTGAGTCCAGGCTGGGCTGGTGGAAGGAGTTCACTAGAGCTCCCAAGCTATTCTGTCCTCCAGAACTCAGACTCACCTGTGAGGAGAAGGAATTGTGGCAGGCCTGACATCTTTCCTTTTGCAAACACCAAGAACAGGTTGTGCAGATTACAACATTGCGGTCATATTCCTGAAGTGCATTTTGGGAAAGGCTACTGCAGGGGCTGATATATCAGTTGATTAGAATTCAGAAAAAAGTAAGCAAACAAAAAAAGTGGTGGAAGTACTCTCTCGCAGCAATTTTGAAATGTACAGCTGGTTCATGTTAACTACAACCACCGTGATGTACTGAAGACTAGGTCTTCTTATTCTTCTCGAACTGGACATTTGTACCCATTAACCTAATGCTCCTGGTATCAAGAAAAGATCAATATTTAAGGTGACAGATATCCCAATTACCCAGATCTGATTATGTGAATGTGCTGAATTATCATATATACTCCCAAAATATGCACATCTAATATGTATCAATAAAAAACAAAGACAAGCCAGGTGCAGTGGCTCATGCTTGTAATCCCAGCACTTTGGGAGGCTGAGGTGGGTGAATCACAAGGTCAGGATGTTCAAGAGTAGCTTAACCAATATGGTGAAACCCTGTCTCTACTAAAAATACAACAATTACTGGGCGTGGTGGCGTGCACCTGTAGTCCCAGCTACTTGGGAGGCTGAGGCAGGAGAATCACTTGGACCTGGGAGGCGGAGGTTGCAGTGAGCCGAGATAGCACCACTGCACTCTAGCCTGAGTAACAGAATGAGGCTGTGTCTCAAAATAAAATAAAATAAAACAGACAAAAATTAAAGCTTTCACAGTAGAAAAAAAAAAAAAAAGCTCTACAGGAATTATGATTAACTGATTCACCTAAACGGAGAGCCTTGCTTGGAATGAATTACTGCTTTTTGAAACATAGTTTTAGAAGA